TAGGAAAAATCACTGCAGATCGTGGAGAATTAAATGCATAAGAAGCTCGTAAGTTCTTTGAAAGATATGGAGTTAAACTACATTGACTACTGCTTATAATCCGGAAGGGAATGCAAAAAGCGAACGTGGTCACTGACCGATTGTGAAAGCATTAGTTAAAGCTTCTAATGGGAAAGTTAAAGAGTGGCCACGGCTTTTGTCATTTGCATTATGGGCTGATCGAACAACACATAGTTCGGTGACAGGACATATGCCAGTAGAACTTATGACAGGTCGAAAACCAATTATGCCGATTGAAGAAAAGGTACTTACTTGAGGCATGCTACCATAGGAAGATGGATTGACAAGAGAAGAACTTCTGGCTATTAAGATTCGACAATTGGAGCAAAGATCGGAAGATGTGCAAATAGCATTGGAAAGGTTAAAAAGAGCAAGGTTACAAAACAAGGCACGATTTGATAAGCAACATCGATTGAGACCTAAAGCAATCGAGGAAGGTGATTGGGTACTTGTTTATGACAATAGTCTGGATAATCAACATAGTACTTTGCGGAAATTTTCAAAACGTTGGTTTGGACCATTGTCGTATTACGTGCTTTTCTGCTCGAGAACGCGCCGGGCGTCTGGCTGTAGAAGGTAGTATGGAGATTCGCCAATAGTCAAGCAGTCTATCAGTTTTTGACTGCTCGAATATAAACGACTGTAAGAATATACCGTAAATCTATACGGATGCCCTTCGACTGCTTGTCGAAGTCCTTTTTGTCCCAACTGATAGGTCTCTAGACGTTACAGAGAACCCTGAACAGCCCAAACTGTTAATCTTCAATACCGCTTTGTACTTACGATCTTGTATCCACTGATTGTCTTGTTAGATTAATCCAATAAATTTCATTCACTCCGCATACTCAATCCTATAGACACCCTTTTAATTCTTCAATCACGGACGTAACTCGATTTCACAAAACAGTCGAGAGTAATCAAACCCATTTCATTAAAAAAAATCCCGATTCACCATTACAACATTGACTTCAGCGACGATTGCCTCAGTCTTCCCAAAACCCTATGAAGAAAAAAAACCCAATTCTCCATCTTCTTTCCCCGCTCAAAGTATGAAGCTAGCTCTCTCCGATCCTTCAAAAAACTCCCTCTCTCTAAACCTTATCCTCTGAATTTCTTCAATCTTCCGTCTTGGATCCGAAATTGGCTCCCGCTGTCAGAGCTTAGATCCAAAATTGGCTCTCGCCGTCAGAGCTTTTTCCTCCGTTTTTACCTTTAAGAAATCCATTTACCGAAAACAACGTTCCCTAAAACGGCACAGAGAATATGACAGCCTGAAACAGAATCGAAACCTGGTACTCGGGTCCACATTGAGTTGCCCGACCAATTTAGGTCTCATATTGGGTAAGATAATCGTAGTTACCTAGATGTTCGCATAATTGGATCAAATTGGTCCTCGCGTCAGATTCGCTAAGACGCTCGTAGTAAGACCTAGATGTTCCCGTAATTGGATCAAATTGATCCTTCGCGTCAGACTAGCTGAGGCCTGTAGTAAGACCTGGATTTTCTCGTAATTAGACTGCATTGGGTTGCCCGGCCAATTCAGGTCTCATATTGGGTAAGAGGACCCAGATTGGATTCTTGAAATTGGATCCAATTGGCTCTTCGAACCAGGCTCACCCGTCATGTGAATTGGTCCTTTTTCTTCCTACTAACTTCCGTTAATGGAATCGAACGGAGCATTTCAGTATCCCCCGGCTGACTGTAACGGGGTGACTGAACCTAGCTACTCAGTATTTGCACTGGAGTTGGTCATTGCTCCCAATATTCGAGGTAACTGAACATTAATAAAAGTCCCCTTTGTTTATATTTTCATGGTATACTCGTGTTACAACACGACACCGTATGTTATAACAACTATTCATGATAATGCGACTTACTCATTACGGGAGTTAGATGGTACAAAATTGAAAATACCAATTGCAGGGAAGCGAGTAAAAATATTTAAACGAAGATACGTGGAGATGAATATGGAAGATCTTAATGAAGGTATAGAGATTCCGCAACAAGAGGATGAAAGTGATTTGGATAATGAAGGTGACGAAGATGAACTGGACAAAGACGTAGAGAATGTATTTTAAATCAAACAGTAATTAGATAAATTAGTGCATACCGGAGGATGCACAAGTTCAGAGGGGGTGGATGTCGTGTTGTAACATGGGTATACCGTAAAAATATAAAGAAAGGGGACTTTTATCAATGTTCAGTTACCTCGAATATTGGGAGCAACAACCAATTCTAGTTCAAATACTGGGAGGCCAAGTTCAGTCACTCCGTTACAGTCAGCCGGGGCATACTAAAATGCTCCATTCGATCCCAATAACGGGAGTCAGCAGAAAGGGAAAGGACCAATTCAACGACGGGTGAGCCTAGTTCAAAGAGCCAATTGGATCCAATTTCAAGACATCCAATCCAGATCCTATTACGGGCCTCTTACCCAATATGAGACCTGAATTGGTCGTGCAACCCAATGCGGTCCAATTTCAAGACATCCAATCTAAGTCCTCTTACCCAGTATGAGACCTGAATTGGTCGGGCAATCCAATGCGGTCCAATTATGGGAACATCTAGGTCTTACTACGGGCCTCTTAGCCAATATGAGACCTGAATTGGTCGGGCGACTCAATGTGGTCCCGATTATGGAGGTTTCGATTCCGTTTCAGGTTGTTGCGTCCTTTGTGCTGTTCTGGGAATGTCCTTTTGGTAAATGGATCTCTTAAAGGTAAAAACGGAGAAGAAATTCAGAGGTGACGGCAGAGCCAATTCCGGATCCAAGACAGAAGATTGAAGAAATTCAGAGGCTAGGGTTTGAAAGAGAGGAGAATTAGGGTTAAAGGGGAGGATAGGTTAAGAAATGAAGGGAGAGAATAGTTTTGGGGAGAAGGATCGGAGAGCTAGCTTCATGCTTCGAGCAGGAGAAAAAAAAAAAAAAAAAAAAAAAAAAAAAACATAGATTTGGGGTTTTTTTTTTTTCTTCTTCTTCATAGGATTTTAGAAAGACTGAGGCAATCGTTGCTGAATAGTCGATGTGTTGTACTGGTGAATAGGAATTTTAATGAAGTAGGTGTGATTACTCTTGATTGTTTTGTGAAATCGAAGTTACGTCTATGATTGGAGAATTAAAAGGGTGTCTATAGGATTGAGTATGCGGAGTGAATGAAATTTATTGGGTTAATCTAACGAGACAGTCAGTGGATACAAGATTGTGAGTATAAAGCGATATCGAAGATTAGCAGTTTGGATTGTTCGGGGTTCTCTGTAACGTCTAGAGACCTACCGACTGGGACAGAAAGGACTTTGGCGAGCAGTCAAAAGGCATCTGTATAGATTTACGATATATTCTTGCAGTCATTTATATTCCAACAGTCAAAAACTGATAGACTGCTCGAATATTGACGAATCTCCATACTACCTTCTACAGCCAGACGCCCGGTGCATTCTTGAGGAAGAAAGCACGTAATACGACACCGGATGAGACATTACGATTGTCACAACCTTTAAGACGATGCAATCGAGATGAAGATCTTCAAGAACGACATGTTATTCTTCGAATAGATGGCGAGATACAATGCGTTTGGTATCACAATTTGGGAAGGGACTCCCGATGTTTGGTGATTATGCTAGAGGTAGGAACAACTCCTGATGGTGTTCCAAATATTCTATTCGAAAGAAGTTACGAAGGCCTCAACAATGATCAAATAAGTGGGTGGTCTTCCCGCCTTGGTATGGGACACTACCGATGGTTGAGAGGCCCTATTAATCATCTTCGAAGAGAACAAAGATCAAAGTATGTGGCGAATACAATTCGTCGCATCATAGATTTCTTCAACATATGATGACCACTCGTCGTGGAACTCGTTCCTAGAAGGGGGGGTAATGTCAAGGACATAATCATATAAGCTAGTAATTACATATACAAATAGGTAGAAGTAAGTAAAAGTAGATAAAAGTAAGTTAATTCTATAGTATTTAATATAGAAGCTTCATAGACGCTGCTTTGACTTCATAGGTGTCTTTAATTGACTTTTTGGATTAGAAACGTAGTCAACAAGTTGGCCATGTGCCAGACATGTTATTAGCTTGAAGATCAAGCTAACTATGTGGCCCACAGTAGAAAAACTTGCCTTGTAAGTCAAGGCATGTGTTCTACAAAGTCAACACATATTGGAGGTCCTATAGAATGTCGCCACGTAGCCCCTAGTTAGATAGTATATATAGAGACAAGAGTGAAGGCTTCTTCACTCTTGTCAACTCTTTTCTTGCTTTTAGTCTAGTTTCAAGGTTCTCTAGTTTTCTTGTCTTTTGGCAATAGCCATTCTAGTTTCTCTTTCAATATACATACTTGTTTATTTATATTTTGTTATCTTTCTTTGAGTGAAGGCTCACTTGTCTGAATTGTTTTTTCATCGAGTTCTTGTCCTTGATAGGTATTGGGTTTTATTCATTTATTTTAAAATATTCATCATTTTTTTTGCAACTTGACATTAATACAAATTTAAAATAAAAAATATTATATATTATATTCTATAATTGTCATTAAACCTATAATTCCATATGTACATATGCTCATGTTGATTATTTAATCTAAAAGATATCATACATCATTGAGGTTATTATTAGAAATTTTATATGCTTTAAGAACTACATTAAAAAATTTATGAAATATGTATTTATATACACTAACTATGCATTCTACTTACAAACATGTGCTTGTATTTGACCTTCTACTCAAAGACCTTAAAAATAGGACAAAATTATAAGAAGAAAAGAAGAAGTAATATTAGACAGTAGTATATATATGTATAAAATTATTCCCTTGATCAAATTAAAGTCTCAGTTTCAAGCCGAAATATCCATTTCTCACGCGAAAGCTCTTAATCACCTTCGGTAATTCAAACTTTAAGGAAAAAGTAATAGCCCACAAAAGTAATTGTACGTAAGAAATATCTGACGAGTTTCTGTTTGCATGTCGTATCAGATTGGGCCTCCCTGACGGTGAGGTGTTGCTTTCGAAGCGCCACCCCAGCTGCTCATTCAGCGGTCGGCCACGATGCGGCCGACCTAGACGAGTGGGTAACGCAACGGTTTGGATCCCACATGACGCGCCCTTCAGACGTGAGCAACAAGCTCCAGATCTACGGACAGTATCCAACTGCCCTTCAACCGTGGATCAATATTGGACGGCTGGGATCTGGAGGCGGGGTAATAGGAGTCTCTCTCACACTATTTCACGCTCACCGCTCTTATCGTAGGAGCCTACTTATATAAGTTGCTTCGCCTGACTTCTTTGTCTTTTGGCTTGGCCCGCGCGTCGGGGGTGTCGAGGAGGAATCTTTGTCCCTCCATCGGTGCTTCTGCGAGCCTATTTCTTCGGCGTGGAGGGCTCTATGGAAACGATGGTGCGAACAGCGGCATCTCTGCCAGGCTGTTTTTAGCGTGTAGTGGAGTGAGGTTGATGTCGATTCGGTTGTGATGGCCTGTGTCTTTTCGGATGCCTGGACGCGGTTACGTTTCTCCTTGTTGATGTAGTTCAGTGTTTTGGTGCGGTGCTGGTGGCGGCGAAGAGGCGTTGGTTAAGATGGAGCGGTTTCGTGGAGTTTTTCCTTTCTCTCAGCGGTTTTTGTTTTGGTTTTTTTTCTTGATGCAAGCGTGTTTCAGAATACCTTTGAGATGCTTGTTCATGCTACGGTGCGTTTGGCGTTCGGCGTGAGATGCATGCAGTTGTACCTTATTGGTAAGTTCTATTCTGTCTTCTATCGAAGATGAGCTTTTGAACCTTCTTGATGTTATGTTTTCCATTCTTGTGTCCTCGTTACATCTGTCTTCCTTCTTAGATCTCTAGGACTGTTCTGGTTTTCATCCAGTTCATATTTATTTATCCATTGATATGGAGCTTTATCTCCCAGGTACCAATCAAAGGCAGGCACAGTAACTTACCAGAAGATTATGCCCCACTCAAATAGTGACGGTTCCGCAATGACTTTGACGATATTTTGCGTCGAGGTCAAAGGCTTAAAGAGTTGACGGCCGCAGTCTAGCCATGGTTGAACTGAAAGTTGCCAGGCTGATTGGTGTGTCGCAAGACCTTACCCTTATGGGTGCGCTTACGGGGTGGGTCTACTCTTAATAAAATGATGTTTCGTGGGGTCGGGAGGTTTGATCCTCTCGCTGGTGTGTGTTGGTCGCGTATCATGTTTGTCTTGCTAACCTCTGGCATATGTTAATCTGGCCATGTCTCCTGTGAAACTGCTCTTTGGAGATGATTTTGGGAACATCATGGCATGAAGGAGTTGCCTAAGTGAGTCAACTTCCGTTCGTGAAGTTTTGCGCGTGTCTCCGAGATCGTGGATGTGGCGAGTACGTGTGATTCTTTGCTCATTCTGTGGACAAGCTCAGAGTTCAATCACCCGGATGACCCTAACCAATTTGTGTTTTCAATACTCACAATTCTGAAGGCAAATGAAGACCGGGTCAAATTTTAAGGCCAATTCAAACCCTCTGCCCGACGATATCGGTGTACCGCAACTCATGGCCGGAACTCACCATTCGATGCAACTTATGAATACGCACAGATAACTGTCTCCCTCCGAACCCAGTACCTCAACACAATCTCCTCCTCATTTGGCAATTGATGGTACATCGCAACGACCACTTACTGCTCAACAACCCTCATCTTCACTGAGGTAGAAGTGTCTTTGTAACTTCCTGCACCCTTTCTATACTTAACACTAAAGCGTCTAACGCAGACAAAGAATTGATTGGGTATCAACGTCCAGGTATATCTCTATATGCACAATCCTCATTTGCGACAATTCTTCATATCGTTTTATTAAGCATAAGATTCCTCCTGTATCTTTCAACATACCCTCATCATATCTGATCTGGTTTTCTACCATTATTCGTGTGGTCTTTTATCTGCCTTTGCATCTCGTTATCTAGGTTCGTATCTGAATTATCCTTTTCATCCTGTGTTTCTGCCAGTGTTTTCTACCAGTAATGTAGGTTTCAACTCTGACCTCATGTGCAGTCCCTATTCTATTCGCATGTCACGTTGAACAATTTTTAGTACCTTAAACTATCTGATTCATATCATGATAAGTGAAGCAGTACAATAGTCTCTAGTTGCATATACTTACAGTTTTATGAGATAGATGAAGCTATATGTTCAGGTTAGCTGTTACATGTACATGTTGAAGTATGTGGGATGTCTGTACAATTAGTTCAGAAAATACAGTTAGGAAGTTTGAAGGTTATTGCGATTGTATAGATGGGGAAGTTACTTCACGTGAGCTGGAGGCGGGTTTATACATTCTTGCCTCAAGCAAATGCGAATGATAATGCGCAGATCGGAATTTTGGTAGATGTGTACTGCTTCGAGGATCTATCCATTGCAGTCACCGACGTTCAAATGCCGTCGTGATATCGCGAGAGGGAGGTTATCATTGGCAATCATTTAAATTCTGGACATGGTTGACAGAAATTTTGACACTATCTCTGTACACTGTTTCTGTTCGCTCACATGTTGTATGTCTAACAGCATGTCACTTGTACAAGAACTGACATGCGTCCATTCAGTGAAAGAGTACCAAGTAGTTTTGAGACCTTAGCTCAATTTCATACACAGTGCATCCTAGATTCAAGTACAACAGACGTTAGAATTTCTTTTGCGCAGGTTCTGAAATGAAGAGAAATGACGATAAATGTTTCTTGTTTCATTATTTCCGTTTAACTGGTTGTAGAGTAAGTCGTCAGCGTTTTTTTATTTTCATGTCAGTCTTGTGCATGATGCAATCGACGTGTTGTAATGGCTATTTCACACTCTTGTCCTATTGTATTTATGTGCACAGGCTCATTTGATTCTGTCATGAATTTGAAGATTTAACTAATTTATTATTGTAGGATCGGTTTGATTTTATGTTCGCAGCATCTGCTCTGATTGGAGGTGAAAAATCTACATCCTTCACATAGACGAGACCTGTAACATGCAAATTGTAAGGAAATGGGCTATTTCCACCTGCAACATCCTTGTTGATAGGTAACACCAATTGCTTCATTCACGATGTGATTGGAAGGGTTCAACTCCCTTGGGCTGTATATGTTGAAGTTTCGATTTCGTAGAGCGGAGGCATTCTCAACCGTGACTTAAAGCCTCAAGAAGCTGAAGAATGTTAACTATTCGATATAAGTATCATTCAGACGTTAATTAGCATACAAGACGGTAATGTTACAAAAACAGATTATGCACATAGCAAACTTGCATCTAGTGCTGACTGAAAGTTATCCAGATTTAGCAAATCGCAGTGCTACGAAGAGGAAGAAGACTATACATATACCTTTCTACTTCATTGTTTAGAATCACCTGTTCTCGACACTGGTTCACCGATAGTCTAGTGCCGAAGATTGTGCAATATGAGTTGCTTGCTTGAATTAAACCTGGTTAAGGGATTGCTCAGTTTTCTGGACGGAAGAAAACATTTCGCGACATCGATCTTAAACTGCCTGATGATATGTATCACAACTTACCGTACACTTACCGTGGATGTTCTACTAGAGGGTATGGATTAGAATGTTTTCGTCTGTCATGTGGACATTACCGTAGAAGTTCTACTATTCTACTGTTTTAAGACAATTACAAGAATCCAACACAACAATTTGTGCATCGCATGTACATGTAACAGCACATGCGATGCTCAAAATGTTGTGTTGGATTCCAACTTCAAAGAATTTCAACTACAAAACTGCAAGAAATTATATAACGTCTTAACCACTGATAATTTCATTAATCTTTACTCATGAAAGTTTATTCTATATTCTAGAGTTTTTGCCTCGTCTAATTTCAATACCTTTCAGCACTAGTTATTATATTAATATTACATAACATTTTTATTTGTTTTCGTTTTCTTTAGATTTAAATGTAATAAGGAAGACTTAATAATTCAATATACTATCACACTGATTTAATTGTGTCTACACACAAACTCTTATTAAATCAATCACAGAAACTCATGATTGTTGATTATCAACTGACAAATTAAGCCGAAAGGAAAAAAATCGTTGGAACTGATCCCAGCAGGGAAGGTGATATACCGGGACCGGCATCTTAGTGCCGCTCTCCGGTGGGAGCAATTTCCACCTCTAAAAGCCACTGCAAATCTGTGCAAACGGTTTCTGGGGGGGAGGGTTTTTGCCCCTTCCTTTTGGTTGCAGTGGCATCATCAATGGCGCAATTTCATCGAAAGCATCACTCATAGAGCTGTGTCCACCTCCATCTGTTGCAGGGATAGAGCGCTCATTCAAACCCTAGCTCTCAGCGTGGGCACCATAGATTGCAAAATGGTACAATGAGTGTCGATTCTGTTTCAACCGTCTTCCGGCAACGACTCTTTCTCCGAGATGATAGCAAAGATCTCACAGGCGACAAAGAAAAAATCAGGCAGAAAGGCAAAATTTATATGAACCGAAAATGGGTTGATGGGAGTGTTTAGATTCCTATAGTATATCTTCGAAGAAAGCCCATAGCGATGAGAACCCGTTTTCACAGTCGTGGACACACCGATCGGTTTTCTGAGGGTCGCTGGCCTTGTTTTAAGTTTTTTCACTTCCCAGAATCTGCGTTTTGAGATACTGTTCCGTGTCCAGGTACATTGAGCTTCCATCACCCCGAGTCTTCAAACCCAGCGTCTTCGAATTCCAGCATAAGGTTCGAGTTTTTACGAGCGCTGGAACCGTTTCGTGGGAATTAGTGGGTTTGGTGGGAGGGGAATCTGTCTCTTCTACGTATTGTTCGCGATTTCACCCCTCCCTGTTTGGTGTTTTTGCATTCTCCGCTTATTTTTATGGCGGAATTTGGAGTTCGTTTTGTCGTGGTAGCTTCTGGGGTGAGCTGAATCGCGGGGCGGCGGGTGGCAGGGGCGTGTGTGAGAGGATTGGGAAGTGGGTTTGGTTTGATTGGTGAAGTGGGGTAGAGATGGGGTTGGATAAGGATGGCATCAGCAATATTGCAAAGGAGAGGATCGCCTCTTCGTTAGTGGAGGACACCAAGGACTTGGCTGCGGAGTTGTGCAAGCATTTCTACAACCAGGGGTGGGTGTCGGGCACAGGAGGAAGCATTACATTGAAGGTGCTTGAGTCCGATGTCGATGTGCAGGAGCGACTTATTGTCATGGCGCCCTCTGGTGAGATAGCTGTCCTTACATGAGTTAGTCGTTATATCACTTGCCAATTTCCTCGCATTACATTGCCGATGATTCTTCACACACACTCCCTTCTAGTTAGTCCTCCGTGCCATGCTACTGTGGGCATAGTAAGCAGCGCAGGGTTCTTGTGAGATTCCCACATAATTCTTAATTGGAGTGATGTGAGGAGTGGGTTCAGTTTTCATATCCTCTAGTCTAGATTCTCTGTCACAAATTACACATACCTCTGAGTTGAATTAAACGAAGATGGAATCATTTTATGCTTTAGTGGATTGTTGCTTCAAATTCGTTTGGTCCAATTCGATCAGCATGTATCCAAAATGATTGAACATGACGTGATGAAAATATCTTTCGTCTTCACATGTGTTCCTTGACATCGGCGATTAAATGCATTCTTCTTGACAAGGCAACGAATCTCGAAAACTTGGTGTTGCACAGGTGTGCAGAAGGAAAGGATGTTGCCCGTAGACATGTATGTGCTTAGTTCAGATGGCACTGTACTGTCAGCACCTCCTGCTAAGGGTGCACCACACAAACCTCCCAAGTGTTCAGAGTGCTGCCCTCTCTTCCTCAAGGTCGTACCTCCCTCCAATATGCGGAATCAGAGCTTCTTAGGTTCTTGCTGTGAGTGTTTGCATGGATTGAATTTGAAGCCGTAGCAATTAAGACTTTGTGGGTTCTTTCTCTGTGTGCAGGCTTACAAAATGCGAAATGCTGGGGCAGTTATTCATAGTCATGGTTTAGAGTCTTGCCTTGCCACTATGATCAATCCCACGGCCAAAGAGTTTCGGGTGTGTTTTGTATATCTCGCCTTCAGAATCTCCCTATTCCCATCTTGATTCGCAATTTCTGCAGTGATTCATGGCTTGAAGTTACTGAAGTGGATTGGATGGTTGGGTTATGAGATGGTTTTTTACGATACATCGTTCTCGTTTTTAACACGATACCTGCTCGTGAGGAATATTGCGGCTAGATGTACCTATGTGATGTTATTCTTGGACCTCTAATTGGCTATTATCCTATTTAGGGTTTTAAGCATAAATCAAAATTTTGGGTTACAGATTACACACATGGAAATGATCAAGGGCATTGCTGGGCACGGATACTATGACGAACTTGTTGTTCCTATTATTGAGAACTCAGCCCGTGAATATGAGCTCACCGATGCTCTAGCAGCGGCTGTAAGTCCTTAAACCCAACATTTCCAGCTTGTGTTTTGTTTTCCCTGGGATCGAATTTTTTCTATTGGTGATGTTTGTGGATCCAACATTTACAATAGTACTAGTAATCTTCAGAGTTTGAATGCTAGTGTATTAATATGGATATTATGCATGCTTTTCTTGTATTGTTCTTACAGTCCCGACGGATAATCCTTCTTCCAAGGAGATGGTTGATTTTCACTTGAAAACAGTAGTGTTCTTCTTAGCTAATCAGTTATTTAGATTCTCTAATTGTGTGTTATGCCTCAGATGGAAGCGTATCCTAAGGCAACTGCTGTCCTCGTGAGGAACCACGGCATATATATCTGGGGTGATTCTTGGATCAGCGCGAAAACCCAGGTGCCATGAAGAATTTGGTCCCATTATGGTTTATTTTTGAATTGAAACATAAGGTGTTTGATTACTTCTAAGATTGCCTATCAATAGTAGAAGGATTTGGATAGCTAAAGATGTGAATGCGATATTGCTTTCTTAGGGGATACAATTTAAGTAACAAGTTCGTCATAGATAACGTTATCTGTCAGGAATACAATTTAAGTAGAAACGTTTATCCATTTGTGGAAGTAAAACCATTTACACTGTGGTGGGTGTGAAGGCCGAGTGCTACCACTATCTTTTCAATGCCGCTTTGAAGCTTCACCAACTGGGTCTTGATCCAGCAGATGCTAAACATGGCCCTCTTACAAGACCACAGACTCTTCCTGATTTTGCAAACAAGAGAGCTACTTCAAAGGTGATTCATGTAACATTTGGGTTTCTATTAGCATACTTCTGTGAGTTGGTGGAAATGAATTTATATTTTAAGATAATGTCTATGTTCTGTACTTGCTGTATTGCTTGTCTTGATGATTTTCTCCTGCTACTTGAGAGCTGGATGGTTGGATTTAAACTGTTTCTCAAAGTCTTCTAAACTTTCGCATGTTTAATGGAACCAATATGCAGAACGTGTTTGTTCTGGATATCGAGGGCACTACAACACCTATCTCGTTCGTGACCGAAGTGTTATTTCCGTATGCTAGAGAAAATGTTTCAAGTTTCTTTAAATCCACTTACAACAGTCCTGAAACTCTTAACGACATTCGATTGCTTCGTGACCAGGTTTAGTGATCATTTTCTCATTACACCATGCGTATGTTTCTTGTTTAGAAACTGTCTCTAAAAACTCACATTCTGACTCTCTATTTTCTCATCGAAGGTGCACGAGGATTTAAGAAACAATGTGCCTGGAGCCACAGAAATACCCGTTGAGAGTGCAGGCATAGATGCTGTTGTTGCAGCCATTGAGAAGAACGTGCAGGCAATGATTAAAGCTGACCGAAAAGTAACTGCTCTGAAGGAACTACAGGTGTGGGTTTAGGGTTTTCGCTTCAAAGTATCATTTATGAACGCTTCTAGTCTTTGTTGTGCTCGGGGTAGCGCTCCTGGTGGCAATCAGATCTGGTTAACTCATTAGTTGTATTAATGCTGCAGGGCCACATTTGGAGAATTGGGTATGAAAATGGCGAGTTGAAAGGTTCGGTCTTTGAGGATGTCCCTGAGGCACTAGCAAAGTGGGATGCAAGGGGTATCAAAACATACATATACTCTAGTGGCAGCCGAGAAGCTCAAAAGCTCATTTTTGGAAACACTAACTTTGGTGACCTTCGGGTATACTTGTCTGGATTCTTTGACACGACTATTGGGTATGTTCAACCTTGGAACTTTAGCAACAGCTCTCCCTTGGGTGCCTTCTGATTCCTGTTCATTGGCTGATGTGTGGTTTCGTTTTTCGTTTTCCTCCCAATCATCCAGACCTGGGAACTCACAATCTCCTTGTGTGGCTAATGAAATAGTTTAAGGATAGGAACAATTCTGTGTATTCAGATCTGGGTGGTTTTGTAGCTCTCTAAATTATTTTTATTTGTATTTCGCAGACACAAGAGAGAGGCAAGAAGCTACAAAGAAATTTTCCTTACACTTGGAGTTGATCACCCTAGTTGTATAACATTTGCTACCGATGTGCTTGCTGAAGCCGTTGCTGCCAAGGAAGCAGGTTCATTTCCATATCCTCCGATAATTCAACTCCGTGATCCTTGTCGCATTTTCTGCGATGCAAAAGTAGAAAATACATTGAATTCCAACTTCTCTTTGTTATTTGGTCCAACGGGTTCGACATCCCCTTTTTCGTTCATCACATTAACGTCAACCCGTTTTGCTGTTTCAGGTCTGCAAGCGGTACTCTTGCTGCGTCCTGGAAATGCGCCATTGCCTTCAGATCATGGCTTCCGGACAGCCAAGTCTCTCCTTGAACTGTGAGATAAGATGCTTACTTGCAGTGGCGATCATGCAACAGCTTGAAATGTAGCGGTTTGTTTACAGTTTCAAGCTGTAACTGAGTGTCAAGGTTGCAGTATTGTAGATGAAGTGCTTCCGTTATCAATTGTATTTCACTTGAAAGATGTACTTGAGATTTTGGAATCTCTTTTAGGAATCCCCAGTGACAAGTTTGTTATTGTTTACATGAAAATCCACAATACACTACAAAGAGGTGCATCGAATTAAGATTGATCTTGGACTTCTTGAAAAATTTAAATCAAATTCTTGATCCTTGAAATAATCGGCCTAATGAATTGATTAAAAGACTAGCAGCAAAGGTCAAAGGTTTTTTGAAGGCAGGCAAATTAGAGTGGAAAATAGCGAAGATATTGTAGATGAGTACAATGTTATTGCAATTGAAACATAGCAGCAAAAGTAAACAAATTCAAGAGAAAATAATGCCAAATATGTGTATGTATATACTAGTGGAAACCAGGGCCATTGGCCACAAAAAAAATTGTAAAGGTTCAATTTGTGGCTGCTTTAGTCAAAAATTGACCACTCCTAAAGAAGCCGTGTTGAAGCCCTGTTAAAGCTTAATTCCAAAGAAGGATTATTTCAAATATAGAAGTACATAGATTTTAAACCCATTTTTAGCAATTACTTTAATAAATCAAAAAAATAAATCTTATTAAACTTACCAATAATCAATATTGAGTATTGGGACATTTATATTTAATTCAATTTAAGTAGATCAACAAAGTGTGCATTAACAAAAATAAATTGTAGTTTATGTATTATTAATGAGATATATGCAAAAATATCATTATGTATATGTGTATATAAACTGTCATCTTGCATAATGCATACTCAGAAGTTATTCTTTATTTTACGATTTTGCATATTAATCCATCGAAATGACTTTCTTTCTATTCATAAGTTTAATCATTGACTTGAATCATTGACTTGAATTCTTCACCTAAATATTATCTTTGAATCCATGCCCTTGTATGTCATTCACTCAAGAAACTTTGAGGAATTTAAAATCTCACTGTAAATCCAAACTTAAAGAAAACATAAACCTCAAAAAAAAAAAATTCTAAAACAGAATTGAAACAAAAATATTAAAAAAACTGTACAACATGTGCAATTAATGTAGGATTTACACATGTTCTAAGAAAACAATAAAATAGATCTTAATGCAGTCGTACACCCTAAACGGTCTTTTGCTCTAAAACATTTATTGGCAAGAACCTAATATCCATATATATTTACATGTGCATATAAACATATAGTTATACGATGTGTTCCAAAGGCACAAACGATCATTATCTGCTTTCAAGACAGGTGATTTCTCATGCGATGGTCACAGCAACACCGAAACGGTGTCGAAGTTCATCAAAATACTACGTAATTGCAATGCAATTTAGAGCTTTGGATGCTACACATGTTCATAGCTCATGCTCCCACATGCAAAACCCAGTAGAAGGATGAGTGATCCGCCAGAACCACGCTGATGGACCTTTTCTGGTTTCCTATGTTGCCGCAACTAAATTGTGGCGAAATCTTGAGCAGAAACGGTCACTCTCATACTGATGCAGCTCACCGAACCAGCAGTCTGCACCTCCACAGTGCGTCGGAGACCATCTGGGGCGACGTGGGTTATCCGAGATCTACGTGCACGGTCACAAAATCCTCGTTGTAACGACCTGGTGAAATTCCATCTGCCTCTAAGTGGCGCTCCGGACCACGGAAGACGTGGAGCATCACCGCATTGTCACCAAGTCAATCGGAGGCATAATTTTGCAGGAATTAAATGGCCATCGACTCCAAACATCGCTGTAACTCATAAGCTTGATCTCTACTCGTCCCTCCTAATTGCTTCGACATCGGACATCGGACAACCCGCGTGCCTCACTCACTCCAAATACTTGCACATCTTATGTGAAAACCACCCACAATCCCGCAGCCTACATTGCAGTCCCTGGAGTTGGTTTGTTTGAAATTGTGAAAGAATCAGTAATGCGCAAGAATTCTTTGCATCAGAATCGTAATTACCTGCTCCCTCATTCAAGGGTATGCTTCCCATGACTTGATGACCCTCCTCTCGAAGTCTGCTTCCGTGTGAGTGGACCCTTTGAAACGTAGTTCTGTAACTGCCAATCCCACACTCACGTTGGCCCAGCTTCCCACAACGGCTGGCATCTCAAGGTTTTGGGCATTTCCATGACCAACAGCTTCATTCACACTATTGAATTATCAGCTTCAGGGGAGTGCTCATGTTTCACATGTTTCAGAGTTAGGACTACTGTGAGTTATTTTGAATTTGTGAACCAGAGAGTGTTGTGTCGCTTAAAGCTTATTCCAGCACAAAGAACCAGAGACTAAGCACACATTGATTCCTGTCTGTATAATGTAGCTGGTCATCAAAAAGGTCAGTGATCATTGTGAGGAGCTCAACCGTCTTCAATTTAATACTTCAGCAGCTGAACTGAACCATTGCCATTTTCACCATTTCTGATATTGTAACGGGCCTGCATCGTAACGGGCCTGCATGTATAATAGCCATTTTGAAGCCAATCTGCCGTAGCAGTTCACAATTTGGCTTGTGGAAGAAGGCAACCTGGTCCATCCTAGCACCAAGTTATTTAATAATGCTGGATTCAATAGCACATGGTGTGTCTCAAGCAACAATCTCCTCACAAAGAGTAACATCATAATTGTCGTTCTCACGCAAGTTTTTAGAGTTGAGAAGGCATCCACTACTTGTGTCAAATGTAGCAAATCAGAGCAAAAATGTCTTCATAGAGAGTGAGAAAGATCCCAATCCAATTTAACGAATTCTATTGATATACATGAGATGTTCAAACGATCACAATAACTACAGATCCTAAACAAATTTATGTGAAGATAAGAAGAAAAAATTCTACTTAATCCTGAAAGATTCATGTGCAACGAAGAAAGACCTCATTCCATAGTAACAAACAAACTGGAAAAAATTGTAGTCAAATAAGAGGTCCACCAGATAAACATGATGTGATAAACATACCCCCGTTTTTCTACATCCCATTCAGCTACTACCACAGAAGAAGATACTCATAAATAAGTCTCAACTTTGTTCTTACAACATTATAATACAAATACTCTCTACTTGGTCTGACTCCCGTGGATTCCCATGCTTCTCCTCCCACACATTCATGCTATTGTTGTTGACTAACTCAAAGAGAATTAATAGTTAACAAAGTTAAGGGCCCTATGAATTGCTGCATAGAAACTACTTTTGTTTCATTTTTGATAAAAACAATAAGACATGCAACAAATTAAAATGTCATTTTGTCTCTTCTTGTTTATCCTCCTAAGCTATTATATATATATATATATATATATATATATATATATAAACACTCTCTAAATAAAATATTTTTAATGATTGGAATTTTTATTTGAAGAAATTTTATAAAAAAAGAAAAAAAAAACTTGGAAATATTGCCATAGAAAATACTTCAAACTTTGGTATATCTATTTAAACATAATTTAGATTAAAAAAAAACAAAAAAAAAAAAAACATATATATATATATATATATATATATATATCTTTGCATTTTCATATACTATACAATACAATAGAATTTAATTTATGTAACTTGCTTCTAAAAATTTTATGGTATTTATAATGTGGTGACAACATGTTTACAATTTGTTTACACTAATTATTATACCTCTCTTACTTTGACTCCAATCTAAGTTGCATTTGCACTTGCAAGGTCACATTTACACTCCTCTCTTTCATAGCCGTTCTATTGCAGCACCCATATACAAAGCTTTAAATTGAGTTAAATGTGGATATAACTCCTCCAACTTACAAGTAATATTTGTTAATGAACTTTTCAAATATCACTTGAAAAATGAAACTTCAATAAAGGCATCAACTACATTTTTGTGGAAATATTTCTCTAAAAACTAACTAGTATTTAAATGCTAGCAAATATTATACTTTGATTCACAAATCTAGGCATTATGCTAAAGACTAATGATAATATATATATATATATATATATAGTAGAAGTAGTTTGAAATATGCAAAGTAATTATTGATTATTTATTTTAATTTTTAATTTTTAATTATATATATATATATTTATTTATTTAAATATACTTATTGAGTCAATACTAATTTTTTTATAGCATATTTTTTGATAATTTTTTTTAATATATAAATTATTATACAATAAAAATAATTAAACTAAATTAAATCTAATTATAAAAATCTAAGAAACTAAAAAATAGTTTTTATATTAATAGTAATGATAATAATAATATCATTATTCTAAGCATTTAGAATCTATCTAAATATTTTTTTTATATATCTTACTAGAAGGTGTAGATGGAAATAGATTTTTTATCACAATAAAGAATTATTTTATATTTGGTAGTTTAAAAAAGTATTTTTTAGTGAAAACTTACATATTTATAGTTTAAGATTATTACTTCATAAGTATGTTGATTTAATGTGTATAATTCAACAATTTATTTGGTTATTTTAGGACCAAAATAATACAATAATATTTTTATAAGTATAAGATCTAATAAATAAGATATTATTGTATTTGGATATAATTAGATATAACATTTAAGGATATAATAAGAATAGAAAATTATAAAAATTTAAGTGAAAAGTCCAAATATGGACAAGCCATCATATATTCTAGAGGCAAGAAAAAAATCATTATAAAGATGCTACACATATGCATAAGAAAATAAAATAGCAATAAAGTATAATTATATTTATTCTAATCAAGATTTGAAAACAAATATGTAAAGCAAAAAAACCGATTTTCCAAAGAGCACTTTTGAAGAACTACTTCTATCTAGATATTTTACTTACATTGGATTAATTTTCAAGTTTTAAATAAAGTTATCAAAGTAGACAAAAACATTTATAATAGCACAAACTAAATAAATAACATTTTTAGTAATTAAAATATCTAAAAAAAATTAACAAATAAAATTACTTCATATTGGTAGAATGTTTATTTTATAAAGTGTTAAAATAAAGATACTTTTTGAGAATATAATCTTCTATTAAAAAATAAATTTTTATTTTGTTTTGATTATGCACTACTACTATTTACCTTATTTTGTAAGAATATAGTGATCTTTAATTGTTTGAAAAAATACCATGATTTTTTTATCTTCAATTAGAAAAATCTAATGTGCTTTATAAAATGTATATGTACATATGTATATGGT